CTAAGGGCAATAACTCTAGAAATAAGCTAAAAGGGATTATAACTTACCCCTATTAATAATTAATAATCTATTAACGTACTTGATAAGTGAGCTGTACAGACAAGTGAGCTGTACACTTTTCTTAGCCTATAAGATTAAAATCGCTATAAAAATACCACAAACCATTTGATCAATTAAAACTACTCACTATACTCTTCCCCAGACGTCTCAATCACTACCTGACAGGTCCTTGCATTATGGCCGGGCTGGCCGCAGACACCACAACGCCGAACCCCCGGTCGCGCCGACCTTCCTTGACCACTACGTCTCGATGATTCGGCTACTACCTGCGCATTAGCATCCATTTGATCAATTGCCTGCCTTCCTTCCTCTACTGTCATTACTCCTCTTTTCTGCAATCTAGTCCTTTTTGCCCTCCGGCGCCGGCTTAGTATCTCATTTGCCTCTCGAAGGTCTTTAACCTCAGCCCTTAATAATGCAATCTCATGCATATTTCCCTTTACTGCCTTCGTAAGAGACTTCATAGCCTCTATAATTGACTCTGGGGAGCTGCTATGATGCCTTCTAATTCGTCTTTCGAGGTATTCAGACTGAGATCCGGCCTCAAGCACGGTCTTTGGGGTCCTTGAGACCCAAGGGGTGGAGGGTTCAACCCCCTCCTCGGCAGGCGTTGGAGTCCGTAGCTGCACATCAAGCTTTGAGACCACAGCTTCTGGGTCAAGGGGAACAAGGCCAGCTCCTTTAAAAGCCCCCCTGATATTTCTTTCCGTCATAGTGGCCTCGTGTGCAGCGTGGAAGGCCGGAAAGAACTCATTCTTTGAAACGTGGGTTATAGAGCATCTGATCAGATGCTCTATTTCTCGACCATAAGCTCGCTTTAGCACGCTAAAGCACCCGACGTCAAGGGGCTGGAGTAGATGAGAGGAATGAGGCGGCATACAAAGCCGGATGATCTTCTTTTCCTCACAATATCTCTCGAATTCGATAGACTGGTGACTTTCATGGCCATCGAGGATTAAGAGGCGATAGCGACTATTTGATCGCTTGGCTGTGCACCGGTCAAAGTGCTTAAGCCACTCGAGACCGGTCTCGTTATCGGTCCAGCCATTTTGGGTCGTTGCAATAGCCCAATCGCCCGGGAGGTTGCTATCTTGGTACCAATTGGCGAGGTGATATTGGCCCGCGCCAATGATGAACGGCTGGATCGCCTGGCCTTCCGCATTGATCGCCTGGATGACTGTAATCCATTCCCGGTTTCCAGGCTGCACTGATTTCGGCTTTGAACGCCTTTCTGAACCTGTGATAACCATTCCGCTTGCAATCATGCCCATAAGAAAGCCAGTCTCGTCAAAGTTATATAGATCATCTGATCGGATGCCATACTTCGCGATTGTGTTCCCCACGAGCTGAAACCAATTGCGGATAATCGTTGGGTCTTCGCATTTGGCTCTCTGGTAGTCGTATTTCCGAAAAAAACGCGTCTTAAGCTCTGAGTGTCGCTTAACGAAGTTTGAAGCCCAGCGCACGCCAACTGGTGGTGCGTCGCGGTCGGCAAGCAATTGATCAGCCATATCTTTAACACCACGAAGCCGAGGGGGAAATCCTCGTGAATCTAGGTCGAGAATAAAGTGAATAAGGATCTGTTCCTCTAGATCAGATAGCTTGCGTGATTTAGGGATCATATCAGCTCGGGCTTGGATGCCATTATATCGGGCGCGGAGGGTATTATGATTAACTTGATAGATTGATGCAGCGCGTCGGAGACTAAGTTTTGGGTTATTTTGATAGGCATGAAGGGCTAGAAGGATTCTAGCCTCTCTATTAGACTGTGACATCCTGGGTCGTTGAGAATTAATTGATCAAATGAGGAAGATGTAGGTTGAGGGATTTTTGTACAGCTCACTTGTCTGTACAGCTCACTTATCAAGTACGTTAATATAAAAGAAATTAATTAAATTATATTATATTAATAATAGCTATAAAGGGAGAGAGGTAACCTATAACCTCACGAAGAGGAGATATTTCTAGAATAATATATAGAGCTAAATCTTAGAAATAATATAGTATTATCTAATTTATTAGGTATATACCCCTTAGAGGCTATTAAAAGCTATCTAGTTTACCTAACTATTTAATCTTATAATTAAGGTTTATTTTGATTATTAATATATACCCCTTAACTAAGGATTTAAGTACCTAGTAGAAATAAGGTATAATATAATAAGATAAATAAAAGTAATTCCCTTAAAGAAGATCTTAGCTATAGCGCTAAAATGCTTTATAATTAACCTTATTTACTAATTTAATATAATTTCTATAGCTATTATAGATAATAGTCCTAAATTTAAGAAAGAATTCTTACCCTTACTTAAAGAATTAAGAGTATAAAAAATCTAAATATCTCTATATAACGCTAAGGCTAATAGTATTAATAAATAAAGATATTACTCTCTTTTAATAGCTTTAAGGAAATTAAAGAAAAAGGGAAAAATAAATTAATATAATAACCTAGAGAAAGTATTATTTACTAATAAAATAACTATAAAGGCACTATATAGATACTCCCCTTTCTACCTTATCTATAGCTAAGAGCTAATATACCCTCTAGAGGTTAATATTCCTACTTAGCGATTAATTAATTAAGATAATATAGCTATAATAAAAGACCTTATCCTAGCGAGGATTAAAGTCCTCGAAAGAAAAAGCAAAGATATAAAGGTAATATAATAGAAGATTAGGGTATTCTAGGCGAAGGTTATAAAGAAATAAAATAAGAAAAATATTTATAAGCTAAGAAAGACCCCCCTAAAGGTTAAGGACTTAATATTAAGATTTAATATTCCCTAATTAATTAATATATTAATAAAGATAAAAATAATATATAAATAATATAATTTATTTTATATCTTTAAATATTATAATAGAGTAAATTACTATAAGCTAGAGACACTTAATAGCTATAAGGTTATTAAATCTATCTATAGAGATTACCTAAAGAAATTTATAAAGGATAAGAATAATTAATAAGAAAGAGAATTAAATAAAGAAGAAGCCCTTAAGAGGCTCTAAGAGGAAAAAGAGAATTCTAAGGGATATAAAAGAAAGGAGAATATATAAATAATAAGGAATATAAAGAATTTAATTAATTAAATAACGTATATGATAAGCGAGCGTGACAGACAAGCGAGCGTGACAAAAATCCCTCAACCTACATCATCTCTATTTGATCAATTGATCCTTCACAATTTGATATGCCTCAATCAAATATTGAAGCTAGATTGCTTCTTGCACTTCAAGCCCTTCAAAATAACCCAAAATTAAGCCTCCGACGCGCTGCAGAGATCTATAATATTAATCGTATGATGCTATGGCGCCGGCAAAAGGGCATTCTTTCTACGCGAGATACTATTACGAAATCACGCAAGCTATCCGATCTAGAGGAACAGATCCTTATTCACTTTATTCTCGACCTAGATTCCCGAGGATTCCCCCCCCGGCTGCGTGGTGTGAAAGATATGGCTGATCAATTGCTTGCCGACCGCGACGCGTCACCAGTTGGCGTGCGCTGGGCTTCAAACTTCGTCAAGCGACACCCAGAGCTCAAGACGCGTTTTTTTCGGAAATACGACTACCAGAGAGCCAAGTGCGAAGATCCAACCATTATCCGCGATTGGTTTCGGCTTGTGGCGAACACAATCGCAAAGTACGGCATCCGGTCAGAAGATATCTATAACTTTGACGAGACTGGCTTTCTTATGGGCATGATTGCGAGCGGAATGGTTGTCACAGGTGCAGAAAGGCGTTCAAAGCCGAAATCAGTGCAGCCTGGAAACCGGGAATGGATTACGGTCATTCAAGCGATCAATGCGGAAGGCTGGGCGATCCAGCCGTTTATCATCGGTGCGGGCCAATATCACCTCGCCAACTGGTACCGAGAAAGCAACCTCCCGGGCGATTGGGCCATTGCGACGACCCAAAATGGCTGGACTGATAATGAGACCGGTCTCGAGTGGCTTAAGCACTTTGACCGGTGCACAACCAGTCGATCAATTGGTTCCTATCGTCTCTTAATCCTCGATGGCCATGAAAGTCACCAATCTATCGAATTCGAGAGATATTGTGAGGAAAAGAAGATCATCCGGCTTTGTATGCCACCTCATTCGTCTCATCTACTCCAGCCCCTTGACGTCGGATGCTTTAGCGTGCTAAAGCAAGCTTATGGTCGAGAAATAGAGCGATTGATCAGATGCTCTATAACCCACGTTTCAAAGACCGAGTTCTTTCCGGCCTTCCACGCAGCACACGAGGCTACTATGACGGAAAGAAATATTAAGGGGGCTTTCAAAGGAGCTGGTCTTGTTCCCCTTGACCCAGAAACTGTGGTCTCAAAGCTTGATGTGCAGCTACGGACTCCAACGCCTGCCGAGGAGGGGGTTGAACCCTCTACCCCTTGGGTCTCAAGGACCCCAAAGACTGTGCTTGAGGCTGGATCTCAGTCTA